TCCGAAAATTCAGGCTTTCTGGAAGACAATAGTGAACTCAATAGAAATAATAACTGGAAATGACATAGGGCTGGACCCAACGATGTGTCTTCTACATAATGCTGGGATCTCAGTAAATAAATATAAAGAATCAGGCATATGGTACTATCTAAACGCTGCAAAGGGGTTGATACCCAAGTTCTGGCAAAAAACAGAGGTGCCGAAGGAGGAGGATTGGATCAACAGAGTAAATCAGATAAGTAGAATGGAAAGATCTTACTATATGCAGGAAGATAGGATGGGAATATACTATACAAGATGGGAAAAATGGGAAAACTCAGGAATGAAAGAGAAGTATAGAAAACTATAAATTAAGATACTATTGTGCCTCGAGAGAGAGTATAGAACGTTGCTAAGTGGAGGGAGGGGGAAGGGGGGCGGGAAAGGGCAGGAGGGGAGGGAAAGAAAAGATTTATTAGAAGGGGGTAAGGTAGAAATGTATGGGATATTTATATGTATTGTTACCTCTTCTTTTGGAATTTTTTGTAATAATATGAAAAACTAATAAATATTTAAATTAAAAAAAAAAAAAAAGCCACGGAAGCTTAGACCTCTGTAGTGTATTAATGCTTTTAATTAAACAGAAAATCTGCACATACAACTGCAAAAAACACAAATCATAGCATGGAAAGTATAACAAAATATGCCTACAAAATTCACAAGCTGACTAGCAAATAAGCAGGCACAATAAGTATGCAATAAGTATACTAAACAGCTACACAACCTAGGCTCTCCTGGTGATGGAATCTTCTCATGGTTCAAAATCCAACTGCTTCCTCCTCCGTCTTCAGAACAAGTGTGTCCTTCTTTGTCTCTCCAGAACAACTCTTGCCTCTTCTTCAAAGTCCCAAAACCAACTCTGTCCTTGTCTCTCACCACATGGTTGTTTAAAAGGCCTCCTTCCCTCCCCCTGCTACCTCATTTCCTGTAAGGAGCTTCCTGTGCTGCTCATAAACACTCAAACTGGTTCATTTGCATCTCAGTAGGGGACACCTTGGCTTCTAAAACAACACATGGTTCTAAAATCTAAAAAGTTCATGAATATATATATATATATATATATATATATATATATATATACTTATTTCTTCAATAAACACCCTCTTTTTGGAAAAAAAAAAAAAATATATATATATATACTTAACCATGTATATCACACGTACCACGTATAACCACATATACGTTAAACCACTGTATGGTCTTGGCCACCATGCTAAAGCTCAGTTTCAGGGTCTTGGCAATCTTCTCATAGCCTAGGCCATCTTTATGTAGAGCAACAATTCTTTTTTTCAGATCCTCAGAGTTCTTTGCCATGAGGTGCCATGTTGAACTTCCAGTGATCAGTATGAGAGAGTGAGAGCAATAACACCAAATTCAACACACCTGCACCCCATCTGCTCCCCATTCACACCTGAGACCTTGTAACACTAACGAGTCACATGACATCCAGAGGGAAAATGGCTAATTGGGCCTAATTTGGCCATTTTCACTTAGGGGTGTACTCACTTTTGTTGCCAGTGGTTTAGACATTAATGGCTATGTGTTATTTTGAAGGGACAGCAAATTTACATGTTATACAAGATGTACACTCACTACTTTACATTGTAGCAAAGTGTCATTTCTTCAGTGTTGTCATGTGAAAAGATATAATAAAATATTAATCAAAATGTGAGGGGTGTACTCACTTCTGTCAGATACTGTATATATTTTATGAAAATCACCAAACAAATAGCCAAGCAACACACCATATATAAAGAAAAGTATCAAAATAGAAATCAATAAAGAGATTGTACAGTATAAACTAGTGTAAAGGCCTAATAATAAGTCACTGAAATCACAGACGGTCAGACAGATATTGTACTACAATTTCCATTTTCATACTCTTACCTCCAATTCCCTGGTACATCAGTTGAACAGTTTTAAAAATATGACTGCTCGGTATAATATGCATATGGTTTAGCCATGCTGCCTGGTGAACTCTATAATCCAACAGGCCTTGACAAAGAAACCTTTTTCATAAGAATGTTTGTGCTGATGGGTAGGGCTGTTACTCATCTGTGCCAGTACAAAACACTGAAATGGGAGAGCAGGAAGTCCATTTCCATGAGAAAAGGGTATTTTAAGACATTTCTAAGCAAAATTCAGTCAAAACTTATAGTATGGTAGTAAGGACCTTAAAGAGAAAAAAAAAGAAGAAAAGACTGATTTTGTTCAGAAAGAGTATAAGTGGGTCAGGAGGGCCTCTTTGCAAAGACACTGTTACTTTGCCCTGAATGGGCAAGGAGACAGTGTAGATTTAGTAAAGGCAACTAGACTGTGCACTTTGGAAGAGCAGTTGCACTCATTTTCCCTAGAGCTTAGTAAATGTGGTAAAGCTTCACTTTGTAAAGAATACCCAACCATGTGCAAGAGGGGAAAAACAGCATTTTTGCTTGCAAACAATTGAATGGTGGAAAATGTGCTCAGCTCTAGGGAAAAATGAGTGCAACTGCACTCGCAAAGTGCACAGTCTATTTGCTTATAGGAAATTCACCCCCACTGTTTTTTTAACTTGCGTAATGGCTGTTGCTTTAAATGAGCTGTTGTTATGCTTTAGCAGACCCTCAGAAGGCCTGCTTACCAATCTTGCTGTATGCTTTTCTAAATACTTGTTATATGAAGTGCTCTTCACATTAGTGTGTATGAGCTTAAAGTGTTACTAAACCCACAACAGTAAAATCAGTCTGTGTATGCAGTAAAACATGCTTATTAAACTCACTGTGGAACCTAAGGGGTTAATCCTCTGAATTGTGTAAAAAGGCTGTTTGATCCTGTCTTTTCTGATCCTCCCCTTCTTCCACAGTCCCCAATTTATCTTCTGATGGAACAGAGCATTTGGGGCAAGCTGCACATGCTCCTTTTTGTGTGTATTGCTAGAGAGTTTTTTTTTTTCTTGGGAGAGTGCATGTGATCAGCACAGGGCCAATCAGCAATGCCCATCCATCTCTTAACTGGTGTGTAAGAGCCCCATATATCTTGGGACCCAGGAGATGACATCAGGGAATCAGCTACCACGACTGTTTTCATAAACAGGTATGCTTTTTTACTTCTTTTAAATGCAAGTTTTCATAAATCCATTATTTCTTACTGCTACGCTTAGTTGAGTGCTCCCTTGTGTTCTTTTTTATGTCCTACAGAGTTTGCTTCACCCTATGGGTAGCTGCCACTAGTGTTGTGTAGATCTCCTAGTGAACTTTTACTACACATGAATTTTATGGACTTTATGGATTTTTTTCATACATGGACCTTTAGTACCAATAAGACACCATCTGTCACTCCAGCGCCATTCTATTTTCCCATATTTTAGTGTCTGCACCACCTGGTTTCTAAGTACAATTTGGACTTGTTAAGGAGGTGCAGCCTACGGTCAGAGATGTAAAAGAAGAGGGTAAGATGATGATGCACAGTAAAATCATAGACTGACGGGAACAGATAGTAAAATAAGTCCATAACATAATACATGTGGTGCATGGTAAAAGAAAAAAACTCTAGCAGAACGGTCATTATAAAAGGGGTAGACACTAGCATGGTAGTATATGACAAAAGGAAGCATCTCACAAGGGGGCACTGCTAAAAGGAAAGACTTAGTCATTTTAGTTCATGTTAATTTGGGAGATCTGTGGGATAGAGTCACATGATAGAAGGAGAGGACTTTGGCATGAAAGAGTCTGGACATGGAGGAAACATGGTAAAAGGAAGTAGTCTGTCACAGGGGCCTATGATAAAAAGGGAAGATGGAGGAGGAGACAAGGAGGCACAAAGTAAATGCGGAAAATATGGCATGGGATTGCATGGAAAAGGGGTATGATTTTTGGTTGCTTGAATATTTTTGTGATTAAAAAAATGGTTTAAATTGCTAAAAGGTTGCTCATATCTATAGCAAGCATAAGGGTTCAACATGCAATCTCCTTCATTCTTACCCTAACCCTCTGCACTCAGGAGGTATCCAGGAAGTACGTTGCCCTCTCCAGAATGGTGGCTACTTAAATGTGCATGCTCCCTGTAGAACCCAATGTACAGTAATTAGCAAAACTAGAAATCCTACCATTGCAGTAGTAGGTAGCATATAGTATTTTAAAACCCCAGCAGATAGGATTCAGAACACTTAAGACTTCACGATAGCTACGTACACTTTTTCTGTGTGTTTTCTCCTCTGGATATGCACTATATGCTCCATTACTAGTTTTCTCTGATCCAAGGGACCCAAAAAATCTAAAACTGGAAGGCATGAAACAGTTAAATAGCTTATAAAGATCATTGCAAAGTTAATCAATGAGGATGCATAGTTTATAAATATAGTTGTCAGATACTAACTCCAGGTTTTATCCCATTTTACAGTTGTCTTCAACCAGCAGCTGAAATGCCACATGTGGTTCCAGTTACTGTGGATGTTTCTTACAGTAGTTGCATAGCAGGTGAATTTTCTGGACTACATTCTTTCCATAAACGTAGCACTAAGTATTAAGTTAGCTGATGTAAGTTATTTTAATTAAAAACAAGCCACGCCAATATTATTAAAATATTATGTAGAATATATTTATAGAATATACAATATTATATATAACATCTACAGGTTACAGTTTATCAAATATGATATACTGGTTGTTTCGGATGCCTTTTATTCTTTAATTTTTCTTTAAAAACTTTTAAAATTCAATAAAAAGAATTTTCAGATTTCAGAATGTGATTAAAGATTTGTGAGATTTCTATTTTAACAGAACTTTAGTCTAAAGAGTCCAGAAAGAGTATTTGAACCATTTAAATCTGTATATCCATTCTTAAGTTGTAGTGGTATTAGTACATTCTTATCTATAAGGAACAGACATACACTATACTGCCAAAAGTATAGGGACACCCCTCCAAATCATTGGATTCAGGTGTTCTAATCACCTCCATGTCCACAGGTGTATACAATCAACCACCTAGGCATGCACACTGCATCTACAAACATTTGCGAAAGAATGGGTTGCTCTCAGGAGCTCAGTGAATTCCAGCGTGGTACCTTTATAGGTTGCCACCTGTGCAATAAGTCCATCCATGAAATGTCCTTGCTACTAAATATTCCATGGTCAACTGTTAGTGGTATTATAACAAAGTGCAAGCAACTGGGAACAACAACTACGTAAAATGACAAAGCGGAGTTAGAGCATGCTGAAGCGCACAGTGCGCAGAAATCGCCAACTGTCTTCAGAGTCAATAGCTAAAGATCTCCAAACTTTGTTTAGCACAACAGTATATAGAGAGCTTCATGGAATGGGTTTCCATGGCCGAGCAGCTGCATACAAACTTTCCATCACCAAGTGCAATGCAAAGCGTTGGTTACAGTGGTATAAAGCACGCCGTCCCTGGACTCTAGAGCAGTGGAGACGTGTCCTCTGAAGTGACCAATCACGCTTCTCTGTCTGGCAATCCAATGGATGTGTCTGGGTTTGGAGGTTGCCAGGAGAACGGTACTTGCCTGACTGCATTGTGCCAATTGGTGGAGGAGGGATTATGGTGTGGGGTTGTTTTTCAGGGCTTGGCCCCTTAGTTCCGGTGAAGAGAACTGTTAAGACGTCAGCATACCAAGACATTTTGGACAATTTCATGCTCCCAACTTTGTGGAAACAGTTTGGGGATGGCCCCTCCCTGTTCCAACATAACTGCTCACCAGTGCACAAAGCAAGATCCATAAAGACATGGCTGATCAAGTTAGGGGTGGAGGAACTTGACTGGCCTGCACAGAGTCCTGACCTCAACCCAAATACCTTTGGGATGAATTAGAGCAGAGACTGTGAGCCAGGCCTTCTCATCCGACATCAGTACCTGACCTCACAAATACGCTTCTGGAAGAATGGTCAAACATTCCCATAGACACACTCCTAAACCTTGTGGACAGCTTTCCCAGAATAGCTAAAGCTGTTATAGCTGCAAAGAGTGGGCCAACTCAATATTGAACCCTACGGACCAAGACTGATGACATTTATGTTCGCGAGCGTCCCAATACCTTTGGCAATATAGTGTATATACTGCTATGTACTTGTATTTTCAGTATCAGGCTATAATTCCCCATATAGGATGACCTGTTTCCTGCTAGAGTTAAGGACTACTAGAGTTGGAGTTATCAGGACTGATAACTGACATTATTGATCTGCTGAAAGAGGGTAATATTGTTAATTACAAAGCCTTAAAGTGGAACTAAATGTAAAAATGCCTTAGTTCCAATAGTCTGATGCCTGCACAGTCCCTCACCAGCTCCAGCATCTTTTCCCTGGTTTCTTTCTGGGAATTTGGAATGGTGTCATCTTGATGATGTCCTTTAGTGATGAAATATGTAGGGCGGAGTTTGGTGGGCTGGCGTCATACCTGTATACCTTGTTTTTATTGTGAGTACCCATTTCTTGATCGTTTATTAAATTTCATTTATGCAGGTTCATACTATGTGTTTTTCCTGCTCCATGGTCTGTATACCAATTTACTGAGGGATTATCATCTTCATTGTGCGGTAGTTCCAGACCCATTCTGTTGGAAGCTGGTGGTCTTTGAAGTGGTGGTAGCACTGATGCAGTCACATGTAATCATATTCCACAGTGCACTTTATACTTGACTTTTTATTAGACTTGTGTTATATACAGTATGCCACATACTATTTTTTTCACTTAGCACTTTACACTGAATTTTTGTGTCAGATATCATTTTATGCATTGAGCAACATGTAATTCCTCATTTTTATGCTATTGGTTGTTTTCAGACACTGTGCAATATTCTCAATTAACATTTATTAAAAGGGAAAGATTAACAATATTTTTTAGAAATGTTTCATTTATCTCATTCTGATTGCACCTTTGTTATATTACATTTTTTGGAGTGCCTGTTTCCAGCATTGACTTCAGGCAGGGGATAGTCAAGCTTTCAGGCTGGCAGTTCTGCTCTGACAGGGAGAAAGCAAACAGTTTTAAAAAAATCAAGAAAATCCTGTTTGGTAAGGCTGCACTTTAATAACAATTCAAGATTTGAGATTTAGATTATTACAAATGCCCATTGTTTGTTTTTTTTCTTAAATCATGGGCAAGCATAAAATACATTTTTTTTTTCATTTTCCTTGCACGTGATTGTGTAATCTTTTGCAAAGGTAATTTTCAACGAATTCACTAGACCAAAGGAAAATTACCTTGTAAAATGCACAGCCAATTTGCATTTACTAAATCCAGGGCTTATTTTTAGCGGGAAGGCGGTAGAACGCAGTTCCAGCACCTCCAGCACTGAGAGTATGTAATGGAAAGGGGTGCTGGAGTGTGCTAGAGGATTTGTTGTTGCTGGCTGCTGGAGGATCTATTGACACTGAAGGGATCTATTGTTGATGGGTGTCAAATGTTGCTGGAAGGGATCTACTGTTGAGGGAGGGGTCTATTGTTTCTGAGTGCTCTGCTGTAGCTGCTGAAAGTCTGTTTTTGCTAGGGTGGTATTTTGATTTGGGGGTCCATTGTTGCTGAAGGAATCCATTTTAGCTGGGCGGAAGAGGGGGGGTTAATGCTGCTGACTGCAGGGATCTATTTTTCTGCTTTTATTGTTATCATTAACAAATTTCATATATAAATGATTTAGCACCACAGCATGATACTTGACGCTGTATTCTCTAATATGAGAGGTACTGGGAGATGGGTGGGGGGTGGAACCAAGTGAAGGTGCTTGGAGGTGGATAGGGGGCGGATACAAGAAGTGATTCAGAAGAGGGGAGTTCCTGCACTTATTTTTTTAGCAGAAAAGCCTTGAGTAAATCAACTCTATAGAGTCTGTCTGACATCCTTGGACAGTCAACATTATCTGGCTATTTCCTTCCCAGCCTGACTGTCTCTGGTCTGCAGAATACAAGACACCTCCTGCGCTCAGAGACCCAGATCAGGAATTAGTGCACTGACCATCCTCCATGACAACTTATCCACCAATAGACCAAAAGTTGTGCAGCTCTTATGAAAGGCTGGGGAAGCCTAGAACAGTACAGTTTAATGAATATCTATATTAATGAATGTTCCATTGGAGCTTCTAAGGTTTATGTTTATGTACTGAGTTAAAAGTTTGTATTTATTCTGTTTAGGCATGATTGATGTAACACCCCTCCCTCATTGACTTACCCAGCCCATTATGGTAGTGTTTCTTCAAATGTTTTTATATATAATGGAGGCTGATTTTTTTATTAAACTGGCTCTGAGGAAGAGGGGATCTCCCTTTGAAAAGCATCAGTATTCTATTCGGTCTTCCTTCAATTGGGATTCGCACATGACTCTTGTCTGATTGTCCAGCATTGGATATTACATGCTTATGAAATTGTGACGTTTGTGAATATACATATGTTTTATCCCTCAATAAAATTTTTATTGCTGAGGTAATATGCAAGGCTGGTGCGCTTTCCTTTGATCTCCATTGCAGTACTGTCTCTGGTCTGCCCCTTTCATTCAATTCTTTCAATCATGGAGGCTCAGCATAACATATAGAAATATCCTAGGGTGGTCTGCATACATGTAAAGACTGTCTTGGAAGGCTTACTCCTCCAGACAACATACACCCATTAAGGGATTTTGAGATCTGCATAAATCCTCCCAAGATCCAGCCCACTGCTTGTATCAGAGCTGAGGGCTCTTTATAAGTGTACTGAAGCAGGATGATGTGATTCTCATAGGAAGCTATATACAGCACCCCTCTGACCTTGCCACCAGCCATGATCTACCTGCATTGCAAGAGAAGCAGAGAGACCTAGTAATGACATCACAGGTTGTAAAATAAGGGAAATAATGAAAAAAGAGCATTTGTATTTAAAAAAATCTATGAACAAGTTAACAAAAAAATAATTACAATTAACTTCAGCTTTAAGGTCATTCACAAGTGAGTAAAATTCACAGCTAATATAAATCCTGAACCTCCTACAAACTCTAGAATTCCAGCTTAATCACGTTGTTTTAGATAATCTACATAACATTTGTTCTTAGTATTTTCTAGGCTGTGCCAAGGCAAATTTTCCTTGCAAACTAGTCTGTCCTGAGAAAACTTGTTTACAGATATGGATAATGTGTTTTTTTTTAACTTGTGTATAAGAATGGCTGAATTAACTCCAAAGTGCATGCTGTGCTGTGAAGACAATGTAGTAGACACATGACAAAATGGCTGTTGCCAGTCCAAAAAGTATAATTATTTCTTTTGTTTTTGACTGAGATTCAGTTAACCTCTGAACAACTCGAGTTTTTGCTGGACTGAGAGTTCGGTTCCACTGGGTCAGAATTGCTTTTCTAGCTCCACTCCACTTCCCTGGGCCTGTCAAACGATATTGATAAGGGGTACAAGGGCCAAAGAAAACATTCCACGCAAGACTGGGCTCTTTAAGAAATAGGACTACTATATTAGGCCGCACACCAATTTCAACTGCTATCTCATCCATGTAGCTGATAAAGAAAGTTTGCAGTGTTTGAAATCTGCCTCTTCCAAAACTGTTAAGAGATGAGAGAACAGTTATAGCATTGTAACAATTCGATTTCCTACTAGACAAAGTGACTAAGATTGACAGCATGGGAAGCAGAGTGTAGGAATCTCACAGAATCTCCTGCCTGTTACTCCAATGAATCTCTTTCAATTGCATTTTTACAGCAAATGTCAGAACAACATTAAAAAAAATATATATATAGTCAGAGCATCTCTACAATCATATGTTTGTCCCCTGCATGAGTGTGGGCGCTGCTCCGACCACTCGTGGAAACCTAAAGTAAGATGGCCACAGCTGTGACTCCGGCCACGCCCCCTGACATGTTTTGCCCCGCCCACCAGGGCTTGATCACAGAGATCACGTCAGAGGGCATGGCTGGAGTCACGGCTAAGGCCATCTTACTTTAGATTTCCAAGGGCGGTCGGAGCGGCATCCACAGTAATGCAGGAGCTTCAAGATTGGACCTATTTGAGGACACCGCTCCCCCTTTCATGCCAATGAGGTGATGTTCTTATGCTCCAGTTTGGAGCGGCTCCAGCATCAAAATCCTTCTAATAGCTTTTATTTCCATGCACACGAATGCATTGGGAACACTACACATTCTATTCCAAATCAAAACATGAAGAAAAATATATCAAATTTGTGTTGTTCCTCTAAAAAAATTGAAGAAAGGTGAATATTAGACTGTTCAAAAAAATAGCAGTGTTTGTTTTCTTCTTTACAAACTCAAACATTCACTATATAAACTGAAAAATGTTTGAAGAGTTTGCTTTCCTTTGAATCACTTAATTAATATTTAGTTGTATAAGCAATGTTTCTGAGAACTGCTGTACATCTGTGTTGCATGGAGTCACCCAACTTCTGCCACCTGTGAACAGGATGATTGGACTACATTCCACAGTTCTCTATTTCTTGGTTTTGCCTCAGAAACTGCATTTTTGATGTCACCCCACAAGTTTTCTATTGGATTAAGATCCGGAGATTGGGCTAGCCACTCCATAACGTCAATCTTGTTGGTCTGGAACCAAGATGTTGCACATTTACTGGTGTGTTTGGGGTCGTTGTCTTGTTGGAACACCCATTTCAAGGACATTTCCTCTTCAGCATAAGGCAGCATGACCTCTTCAAGTATTCTGATGTATTCAAACTGATCCATGATCCCTGGTATGCGATAAATAGGCCCAACACCGTAGTATGAGAAACATTTCCAAATCATGATGCTTGCACAACCATGCTTCACTGTCTTCACAGTGTACTGTGGCTTGAATTCAGTGTTTGGGGGTCGTCTGACAAACTGTCTCTGGCCACTAGACCCAAAAAGAACAATCTTACTTTCATCAGTCCACAAAATGTTGCGTCATTTCTCTTTAGGCCAGTCAATGTGCTCTTTGGCAAATTGTAACCTCTTCAGCACATGTCTTTTTTTTCAACAGTGGGACTTTGCGGGGGCTTCTTGCAGATAGCTTGGCTTCACATAGGCGTCTTCTAATTGTAACAGTACTCACAGGTAACTTTAGACCTTCTTTGATTGCCCTGGAGCTGATTGTTGGCTGAGTCCTTGCCATTTTGGCTATTCTTCTATCCATTCGAATGGTAGTTTTTCGCTTTCTTCCACGTCTTTCAGGTTTTGGTTGCCATTTTAAAGCATTTGCGATCATTTTAGCTGAGCAGCCTATCATTTTCTGCACTTCTTTATATGTTTTCCCCTCTCCAATCAACTTTTTAATCAAGGTATGCTGTTCTTCTGAACAATGTCTGGAACGACCCATTTTCCTCAGAATTTCAGAGAGAAATGCACTGTAACCAGCATGTACAACATTTGCTGCCTTCCTTCCTTAAATAAGGGCACTAATTGCCACCTGTTTTTCAAAGAATGACTGACCTCACTAATAGAACTCCACACTGCTATTATTTTGAACATGCCCCTTTCAATTAGTGATTCAATTACACAGAATCAGCAGCATGCATGTCATGACTGTTGGGTCTGTTGGATTTCTATTACTCTACTACACCTGCTAGTAAATTATTTGCCATGTAGAATTATCGTTTCTACCAAAAACAGTGATTGATCAGGTTAGTGATGTCTGACTGCTATTATTTTGAACACAACTGTATGTTAATCCCCTGTTGCAACTGCAAAAAAAATCTGTTGATCTGTCAAAAAAATTCTGTGAACTCCAAACGTCCAGTTTGCGCTGACGACACAGTGTACTGAAATCCAAAACACCTTAGTCGGCACTGTCTATTCTACAGCAGAAATCCTCCTATCCCCCACCCCTCTCTGTCCCTATCCACATGCATGCATAGGATATAGGGAAAAAGCTCTTTGAAAATTTAGTTCTGGGAGGAATGCATAAGCCATTAGGATGTGACCTCTCAGCAGATGCCCCTGCAAAAAGTTTGCAAGCCTGATGATCCTGTTAGAAGGAGTAACAGTAATAAAGGTTGTATCTCTCTATGAGAAAAGGTAAACAAAAAAAACTAATTCTGTCACATTCTCTAGAGGGAGAGAGGAGGGTTTGGGGTTAAATTTGGGTAAGACCTAGATATACCCTTTAATAAGCCTGGAAGCATAGGCTAGCTGAGGTCCCCAAACTTTGACCCCACATAGGGTTTTTAGTAAAGATGGGAACTAGTACAGGATGAAACCAGGGGTATGTGAGTTGCAGTTAACTTTCCCCACTCCTGCACCTTCTCTTAAAGTGGAACTTCACTCTCTCAATCAACATCGACCTTTTGTAACCCTTATGCTGCTAGAATTAGTAAATGGATAGGAAAGTGTAACATATATACTTGTTTAAAACTATTTTTTTTATGTTTCTTCAGTTACATCCTGGTTTCTTGGTTAGGAAAAAGATGTCATGCCTCCCAGGAGCCTTTTGGAGAGGAAGTGGGGTTTTTCTCAGCTAAACACACACTTCTGCTTCTAAGTCTGAACTAAGGGCAGATGTATTCCTAGAAGTCAATGCTACATAAACCATATGCCCTTGCTCAAGATGGCCAGAAATGCTATGAGGTGTTTTTCACAATGATTTTGCAGCAAAGTAGTTCTTAGCAGTGTAGTTCTGCTTTAAGGAAAGAATGTGCAAAACGGTTTGGTGCCTGTCAGCAACTGACTGGTGTTTTGAAATGGGGGGCTTCCTGAAGCAACTACTTGATGCTATATTGGAAGATAACCAATATCAGCATGGAACTGTTAGATCCACACTTACAATGCAAGGATTACCCTTAGACTAGGGGCCTTGAAACATTTCAGGACAAATGTAACATTGTATATTTTTACAAATATTCGTGGGCTGAAAAATATAGTAGTACCCCCAGGACTCCTGGAGTGCCCAGCAGATTCCCTTCTTCCATTCAGGAGTTCCAAGACATCTAGAACTCAGCAGCAGATTTCCTCCTTATATCCATGTGTGCCCAGCAAAGTAGTCCCCTACAACCAGAAATGCCCAGAAGAGTCCCCCTTATATGCAAGATAGCCCAATAGAACACCCCCCTCCCCCACACACACACACACACACACACACACACACACCATCCATGTATGTCTAGCAGAATTCCCCCCTTACATCTAGTAGTGCCCAGCAGAGTTCCCTCCTTACCTTTACATATGCAGAGCAGCCGGGCAGAAGCCAGGAGTTAGAACAGGTCTGGACATGTTGGCAGCAGAGCAACACATCATGGCCAGCAGTCCTAGCAACCAACCAAAGCAGAGGCAGGAGGGAAATCTGCATTGAGTAATGGTGAAGGGTCAGAGTTGGTTAGTTGACTGGCAGTGGATGCTCTTTCTGTATTATCATGCACAGACAGGCATAATCTTTCTATAAACAGGTTCTTGTATCATAGTGTACCTCTGGACAGTTGGGCTTTGTTTTGTATATTATAAATTATAGTAAACTAGAAAAAAATTACCATATAGTTCTAACTCACCACCTTAATTTCTGTTCCACAGTTTTTTTGTAGTAGTTCTCCATTTTTGACACTGAAGGTAAATGAGCAGTGCCTGTGGCAAAATATAATTGATAAAGTTATTATAACGCTTTGTGTTGCATGTGAAATATAGGGACTGTATTCATTGGCATAACAGAGGTGTACTTTTAGTTTTGGTGAGTTTGGTGATTGATTTTTTACCACATCACTGGCCTCTAAGATACGTCCTGCAAAACTGCCACCCTACTGTCCAATGATAGTGTTTTTAGGGACATTATCACTGGGTAGAGAGTAGACCGGTTGGTGCTTCAAGTTAAGACTGTTCATGTTACAAAGTGAAGTTTTCACTTAGTGAGTGAGCATGCAAGTTCCAAATATGAAAGCTTTACATCCAGAATGTAATGTGTTTGGGTAACATAGGCTGTAGTAACAAGTATGATGCTTATAATCACTTCTCTGAAAGCAACTAACATAATTAATGCAAATCAAAACACAAAAGCTCAGTTTTGTTTTAGTACAAACCTTTAAACACTTGGGTGGCCCAACGTGCTTGAATCTCTGAAACTGCCAAAAGGGAGCCTAGTGGCTGAACAAGTCCCAGGAATGCCATTGTTGGCTTCTCATGACTTAATGGAAAGACATTTTTGTATAGAGCAACTTTGTTATTGTCAACTCTGATGACTGAGTCTTCTAGAAACGGAAAGGAGATACTGTATCCTGTGGCAAATATAACCGCATCCAAATCTTCCACAACACTTCCGTCTTCAAAGATGACAGAGGTTTCAGTGAATGTACTAATATTTGGCTTTACTTTAATAGCTCCACATAGGATTTGGCTAGGTAAGTAGTCGTTTACTATGGGCTCCTTAAAAAAAGATCTGTAGAATGTGGTAGATTGGTTTTAGAAAATGAATTATTTCACAAAAATAACACATGAAATTTGTTACTCCTACACAGTATATTTTTTTTTAATGAATGATATAGTATGTAGCGATGCTATAATAGCTCTAAAAATACACACAGTTCTAAAGAACAGTGTTTAAGGGTGCTTTTGTTATACCATTGCATATAAAAGTTATATGGTTCCCTTAATCATCGTACAACAATAAATAAAAAGGTGCAGTCAATTACAGAGTTACTTGGTGTGTGAATGATACCTGTTTTCAGGCTCTAATCCGTAATTTTCATGATCAAACCAACTGCTCATGTGTTTCTCATTCATCTTGTTGAATAGATTAGCAGGTAAAAGATTTGAGATCCAGAAAAAGAAACGTGTTGCTAGAGCCATATCTATTGGATATCCATGATGAGATATACGACTTACAACCCAGGTGCCTTGTCTGGTACTTAAATATACCTGAAATTTTGAAAACTGACAATTAAATTAAAATAGGAAATGAAGGATTGTTGTGATTAGTGCTTAGACTCTTAAGTGGTGCTTAAACTCTTAATTTAATAATCAGAGATCAACCAATACCTTAGCAGCTTCTTTTCACTCTTCCAATGTTCAGAAGCTTAATATATTGCTGGGCTGCTTAGTTAGAGCAGCTAATTTTGTTGCTCTACAGTAAGGATATAGGTAGTGCTGGCTTTGGTTCCAATCAAGATAATAACCTGGTATGAAAGTTGTATATTTTATCTAGCCATACTATCCACCCCAAACTTACAGAACTAACTGTTTAACTCCAAATCTCAGGCCTTATGCTTCTAAAATAAATCCACAAAACTAAAAATTTATGTTGTTAAAGCCAATACCGGAACAAAAAAAAAACCAAACTTTTTTTTCCCACTCCTTGGTCTTGGGCAGAGCTATAGGACTCTTTCAATCTTTTTGTGTCCTTACATATAGACACCATTTTCCCTTTCAGTAGCCCAGGTGGAGGGGTTATAACTTTAAACTAGGAGCTTGGACAATGCCCTATGCCCCCTTAACTCTCAAGTATCATGTTCATAACCATCTACCTCTTTAAATACTCACTAATTTACATATGTACTCTGCACAAGCCACAAACTGCATGTAATTCACATAAACTTTGCACAAACGATACTACAGTTTCTTTTGCCAGTTTATTATTCACTGGCAGCATCAAGAGAGTCAAATTTTACCTACTTGATTCAGTTGAAATCAATGCAATGATTTCTGACTCCATTGTAATGCTTGGAGCTTAGATCAGGTGACAGGTCTTGCAGGGATCTTCAACTGCCTGGTACTCAGGAAACTGATAATACTGATCAAGGAAACTGATAATACTGTATATATATGTATGTCTCTCCATGCTTTTTTCTTTCTATAGTCTATTTCTAGGCTTGTCTTGTTGCTTGGTTCACCCACTGTGGAGGTGGTTTCATACTTCTCTATGTGCAAAATCCAACTCAACCCCTTGGGACTTGAGAAGTCTCTTTCAATGTACTCCACTGCAGACAGTATTTCCCCTGTTCAGCTTCTCAATATTATCCTGATATTTCCATGCACACTGTGTGAAATTGTTTCTATTTCTATTTTTGTAACACGGTAATAAAAATATTGCAAAGAAAAATCACTGAGCTAACTGTTTAGAGCAGCTAATTTCATTGCTCTGTAGTGACTGTTACTCAATGGACTCCTGGAAATAGTGCAATCCACAATATTAATGTAATATAAAGATTATATATTATTCTAACAACACAAGGATAAAAAAGTGGGTGTACAATTTTCATTAAAATTTCAATATCCAGAGGGTAAAAACACAGCGACAAAGTTGTCCACAGACCAGTGCTGAAGGAGTTCACAGGACACAGAATTGCTCACAAGCTGGTAGCCATGAACTTCCACATCTTCTACATATACAGAAAGAAGAGAAGATGACCAGTGGTATGTAAAGGTCATAAGTGAGAGTTCAGGTAGCTGGGGATTATTTGTTTGTCTGATAGCTGCTGTCCTTGGTGCAGAACCTATTCTTGGGCATATATGAACAAGGAGAAATTAGAACTGATTGATGGATGAATTCCTGTATCAAAGGCTGGATTTCAGGTGGGTGATGGTACTAAGAAACAGACAATTATTTTACCACAGTTCAACTACAGCAATCTTTCTGTAAAGACATGAGCTTTGGAAACCTAAACTTATGCTATACAGTACATACTGTATATTTTTTTTTACTTAAAGCTGAACCCTGGACACACAATCATTTATTTAAATATATTCTTCAATAGCCACAAAGATTATAAAGTAATTCCACTTTGTGCATCAAATGTCTTTTTCAAATGTCAGTTGAAAAATTACCCGTGATATAATCACTGCGCTGCACATAATCTGGGCAGAGAGCAGAGCTGTGGAAGGGAGGCAGGAAAGTAGATTCAAGGCCAGTCACCCTGCACAAGTGAATGAGCAGCAGTGATTGGTCTTTATGACAGGGAACTCCTGCCATGCTGGATTACTGTACAGATATAGAAGAACTATACAAAGCACACAAATATGCTAATAAGAATACACATGCCTCCCCTGATAGTGCAGTCTAAGCTCTGTACATGGGCTTTTGTTGACGCTCCACTATTAACACATATAAGTAGTGTAGAATCCAGACAAGAACTCATTTCCACTATTTACAAAACCCTTCATTAGGGAATTCAGAAAGGGTGTTTGGGCACAGCAATGAAAGTGTTGATGCTTGTGCCCAATTTCTGTACCTGTTAGAGACAAGTACATGAATCTGCCGACACCCGCAAGGAGGTCAGAGTGTCCATCCTGGACAAACCTTTGTAAGTGTTCTCCTTTTTGGCCACTGCTCTTATCACACTGACAGAGGCATGATCAAGAAGTTTTGACCTGGGATGGGTGAAGCCTGATGGAAAACTTAGAAACTAGTTCCCCATCAGGTCACTTTACTTTTGATTGACAAGAAAAATGTTGTGTGGGTGGAAGGTATAAGTGATTACACCACATCCCTTAAAGGCACATAGAAAGAACAACTGGTAGGAATGGAGCTTTTCATGAGCATTGATTATACCAGACTGATAAACACTTACAATAATGTTTATTACATCAATGCCATTCAAATTCTTAAAAGCATCGATAGGTAGTGTCTCCTTTTTTCCACCATGGTGGTGCTCTCCACAGTGTGGGTCCGAAGTGTGTGATATTATTCCATTCAGTTGGTGGGTTTGGCTACTTTGCCTGTGGAAATATTCTGTGACATCAGTTAAAGTGTTACTAAACCCAGGACTCTGTATTCACTGTATCTGGTCTCCCACAGTACACAGAACATGGAAATGCAATTATTTACTTTTGACTTCTATCAGTGTTCTGCAGAACACTGCTGAAAGCTTGTAGGATGAGTTTTCTTTCTGCTCTAGGAGGATGCAGAACTCCTGACCTCTGTCTGAACAGTGATGATTGGCCCTGTGCTGATCACATGCACTCTCTCAAGAAAAAAAAACCTCTCTAGCAAAACACACCAAACTGAGCATATGCAGAGTGACTCCACACCATATGTCTTATCAGGAGATAGGTTCCACAGTGAGTATAACAAGCATGCTTTACTGCATATACAGACTGATTTTACTATTGTGTGTTTAGTAGGACTTTAACAATTTGTTGTTTCTTATATCGCTTTTTTGTATGTTCAACAGTAACCTTCGTACATGTGAACTTCCTGAAGAAGCCTGAATGGCAAAACATCATGTGCAGATCATGTGTAAAGGTTTGTTTCTGAACTCACTGTGTACCTAACTGACAAAGAGCATATGCATAACTGTTGATGTACATGCTTTTAAGAATTTTTATGGCATGGATGAATTAAACATTATTTTAACTGTTTATCAGTCTGGTATAATCAAAGCGCCTGAAAAGTCCCATTCCCACCAATTGTTCTTTCTATTTACTTTTGCTTGACAGTGCATGGCAGTGGGTGGATTCAAAGCCGCTATTCAGTACAATAGCTGCTTTCAAATCCACCCATTCCTTTGTATTGTCAATCAAAAAAAATGCAGACCTGATAGGGAAATAGTCTCTCAGTTCTATATCAAGCTTAGTTTGTTTACATGTAGTTTTCAGATTGGGGAATCTCTAAGCAAATCAGCTGAATGGATCAGTAATAGAGCACAATTCAGGAAGCTGGCATACCTCTGTACACCAATTTAGAATTATCTTAAGTACCACCAGTTTCCTAATCTGAAGACTGGCGGTAATTCTTTAAGAATCTGGTGCTGCCATAGCTACAGGTTCTGAAAGTAGTGGTCAGAAGAACTACCTGAATTTAACCAATACTCTAGTCTAAGTGATGTAAACATTTCAAGTAGAAAAAGGGACATAAACATAATAATAGTACATGGTAAGGACATGTGCAATAACATCAAATATAAAATAAAATAATTTCTATTGCGACAGAATAGGAAAAGCATTTTAAAGAATATGCACTGTTAGACAACACTTGCTTTTAATTCACATTACTAGTTTCCCACATTGGCCTTTTTAGCAAATTGCATAAGGTTCATCCAGAGTACACTGACCTAGTTTAGTCACGATGAAGGTTTAGCTTTACGCACATTTTTGCCTTGAGGTCATGTGCTGCCCAATTACAATTTAACTAAATTATCTGGATTGTTTATTAAAGGTAAATCACAAATGCCTCTGATCTTAACTTGGATTTCTTTCAGCTGGGGTTAATGTGAGTTCATATGGTCTCCAAATTTACCCATTACTTCTTGGCAGAAATGCTTAAATGTGATACTTTTAAAATTTCTATTGAACAAATACCCTCTTCACAGAGAAAGAAGAGAAATATCTTCGTATTACCATTATTCTACACTCCTGAAAAGAACCAACTTGAGTGAATATGTAGACTGCAAATGCTTACCTCTTCTTGTAAAAATGCTAGCTGCCTGGTTGTTATGTATATCCAAAAGTTTTAATACTTTCTGGGTCACTGACTCATTGCAAATATGCAAATAATGCAACTGCTTGCATGTATTTAATTGAAGATTCTGCCAAAGTCCAGCAAAACCTTCTGTGCCATTGCTTGCTGAAATTGGATTCTTGGACGGTGGCTGAAAATATTTTTCAGGAATAAAGGTACCCAAGCAGACCTGACCACCCCTCTGCCTTTGGTCCTACACCTTCAGAAAGGTACCTAGAACAATTAACACTTTTTATGATATTTTTAGTCAATCAACGTTTGCCTTGACATTTCATGGGGATTGGATTAAGGTGGCCGAGTTACGGTATGGCTAAATTTTTGGGTATATTCCTGACACTCTTTAGATCTGAAGAGACAGTTTGTATGACTTCAGCACTACAGAACAAATTAGGCTGAATTTCAATAGCTACTACTAGTTAGACAATATAAGATGATCTTGCACGTTTCTATAGTTAACAACTACTTATCTACAGTATACAAGTAACTATAATATAACCTAAATTATTTTGTTTTTCTAAAACAAATAGCCGCTAATGCACCCAAATCTTTTATCATATCAGGATTAGCTAATAAATACAGTGATCAGTGCAGCACTACAATATATTAATACATTGCAAAATGAAATCACAAAATGATGTGTAAAATAAGTTAATTTATCTTCATTAGAATGCTTCCATCCTTCTGTAACAACCAAGTGCTCCAAAATATATAAGTGCAATTATTCCTCCACCACGTCTGCTCGCCTCCAGCAGTATGACCTCACATAATACTATATTTGGTCTAACTGCGCTTTTGGTCCCAGTATGGACACTGTAGATCAACTTGATGGATCCCAGCTATCATTCACAACTTGTCCGGAATTTAGCTCCAACCATCACATCACCTCATAAACAAAAGACTCCACATTTAAAACATTTTAATATCTCAAAGTAAATTAAGTGCGCACTCACATGTGAAGGGTGCCCAATCGCACCAAGTACAATCAGCCTCTGTTATTATAAATAAGCCCAAGATCCGTGAATCTGTGCCATGGTAAGTCAGCTATGATTGAGCTCATGCAGTAGGTAAAACACAATGATTACCATGATGTCAATCAATGAACACCACTACTGCTGCTACTATTGCCAGCTGCATGGATTATTGTTACCTCATCCAAAGCCCTGCTCCGATGCTTTTCATCACTTGTCACATAGCTTTCTCAAGCAGAACGTAATTTAATTATACTTGATACGGTTGGGTACCCTTCACATGTGAGTGCGCACTTCATATACTTTGAGATATTAACATTTTTTAAGTTTAATCATTATGTGGAGATTTTTGTTTATGAGGTGATGTGATGGTTGGAGCTAAATTCCAGAGAGTATTGGTTTACTGTACCATTGGAGTATATATTTTACTATTTCATGATAATGATACCGGATGGAGAAGAGTAAGGAGGTTTATGAAGTCTATGAAGTTTACATGGTGATACCACAATTGGAGATTTAACAAGCGATACATGCCAACCATGAGAGTGGGAGGCATGTGGGTCTGATGAGTGCATACCTAAAAGGAAAGGGTGTCTCAGGAGCACGTAGTGATTTTGGTTTGGGATATTAAGTAACAGGAAGATTAAAACACTGGAAGCGACATCCACATGATATTATGGACTTTATTATTTCTCAGTAGTGGATTGATTTACATTATATGATTGTTATGTTAGAGTTTTGTTTCACTATTCACATTGTCACTGTAGAAGGGGTTATGTGTGTTAGTTGTTCACAGCCCCACTTGTATAGAGTAAATACTCGTCAAAAGTGGAGCCAAAATGGAGGTATACAATGTAGTATTTATTAAAATATTAAGCACAAAACAGGATAAAGCCAACAAACAGTGTCCAAACTTACAACTATGGCTGCCACATGCAAACATGCATGCAAACATGCGGTGGCAATGACATCAGTACTCTAACTCTACCCAATGCGTTTCATGCTCTAGCACATTTTCAGGGGTCCCTTACTCTTACTTATGCTTTTCTGAGTGCTGCAATATTCTCTGCACTTTAATTTTTGCTCTCTTGAAGAGCTCGAAGCATCACTGCTATTCAAAGCTTTCAGGTATGTCAGATAGCATGTTAGCCACAGAGTGCTGCATCCTCTTCCACTAGTCACTATATAACCACATGATACAGTAGTGATGTGGTAATCAGAGGGAGGAACCACAGCACCCTTTATTCGCTGAGCATGAATGATACAACACCATATGCCCAACAGCAAATATTAGGTGTTCCAAGAGATATAACAGGACCCCCTTTTGACATGTAAGTGCAGTGTTGACAGAATTTAGTTCTTGTGCACCATTGGTCTACTATGATGTGAGACAGGACTTGGGGGACTGAGGAGTTTATATGCCACTAACAAGCAAAGGAAACCTGCTAACCCTTTGGTGAAACTTAAGCTGGCCATAGATGGATCGAATCTTGGCCAGTTTAGCAGGGACCTGCAGAGATTAGATCCATATATGTGCACACTGATTGTACCCAAGTCGATTCATCAACCAGCCTGTCATATTTTTTAGCATGCGATTACTGCTGGTGGCTGCTAGCAGTAATCATTGTGTTATGCCAGTCAATCAGGCTACCCATGCTCCCCAGCCAGCAGAACACAATAGCACTGCGCTAGACATTCCCCCATTAGCACTGACTGTGTTGATGGAGTATTCAAGTGATTTTCTTTCCTTCCACCTGTGCACCCCACTGCATTGGTACAATTAATAACAGTCCAGAGTTGGGCTTTAAAGAATATTGTAGGCTGAAATTTCCAATTTTCCCAATTCTGTTAAAAGGCACATCCACGCAGAATCCAGACTCTTATACATGTTTGATCTTATTGTTTACTTACAGTATTAGTGAATAATAACTACAGAATCCAAATTATCATTATAAGTTCTTAAAGGAGTTTAGGAACAACATGACCTCTAATTTATCAGATTGTAGAAGCTTGGCAGAATGAGTTTAACTGACAAACAGGGGAAAATTACCTTACCTGTTTTGCTTTGCTACTAATTTCCACAGAGATATCCCCTGCTGAATTTCCAATTCCCACCACTAGAACATTCTTCCCTTGGTAATGTTCGGATTTTTTATAGAAACGGCTATGGATGTATCGACCTTTAAATTTTTGTATACCTGCCAAGTGTTAAAAGAAACAAGTTATGTTTTTCCATATATTACGTTCACATTTATATTATTGGCAATTCACGTCCCATAGGAATAAAAAGTGTATATCATCTATTCACTTTGACTATTTCCTGAACCATCTGTATGCAGTTTGGAATAAATGGTTCCGTAACATTTCCTGTATATCTGTGTTATAAACCAACAGTTATGGAGGTAAGGCCCAGGAGCACATCACCTTAACTCCCTTTTCATACTTTCTCATTGCAGCCCAAGCTCTACACCATAAAAGCCCTTGCTTTTATGATAGCCACCAAGCCTATAATAGGTGTACAGGCAGTCCCCGGATTATGAACAAGATAGGTTCTGTAGCTATGTTCTTAAAGTGTTACTATACCCACAGGGGCGGACTGACCATTTGGAAACTCGGGCACTGCCCAAGGGCCGGGGTCAGTAGGGGGCCCCATGAGATGCCCCTGGGACCGTTTTCATAGGCTTTTTTGAGTTTGGGCAAGGACACAGGGGTTCCATGATCCCCTATTGCCCGGGGGCCCCATGAGTTGTCAGTCCGCCCCTGTATACCCAGGACCTTGAATTCACTTATCTGGGCTCCCACAGTATACAAAGCATGAACATGCAATTATTTTAGTAAATATAAACCGCAAAATACATATTCTCATCAGCAGTTAGTGCAGTGTTGTGACTTCCATCAATGTCCAGCTTGAGCTCTGCTCAAAACATGTAGGAGGAGTTTTCATTTTCCTCTCACTGCCCTATGAGATTGCATAACCCCTGACCCTCTGTTTGGACAGTGCTGATCACATGCAGCCTCCCAAGAAAAAGAAAAACTTTCTAGCAGTACACACCAAACTAAGCATGTGCAGATTGTCCCCGAGAAGATGAAATAGGGAACGTGGAAGAAGGGGAGGATCAAGGAAGACAGGATCAAACATCCTTTTTACACAATGCAGAGTATTAACACCATATACAGACTGATATTACTGTTGTGGGTTTAGTAACGCTTTAAGTTGAATATGTATGTAAGTTTTATGAAAAAGCACAACTTGACAGGTTATGGTGAGCTAGGCCAAGAAAAAAAAATCTTATAACTTGCCATACCATTCAAGGTATAAAGCATTTTTTCAGTCTACTGATTTCTAAATACTGTAAATAATGGCTATAACAACATTATCATTTTTTCACAAATAGTTTTGTTTAAATTAATTTATTTAAACAAAGTGATGTTAAAGTAATGTTAAATGTATTTTTTTTGTATTACAAACATGTCTTACTTACTTGCTCTGTGCAGTGATTAGGCACAGAGCAGTCCTGATCCTCCTTTTCTCTTGTCCAGCTTGCTATGGGGACACCCAAGCAGGCTCGTTCCCAAGCCACTGCTCTCATACAAGAAGGAAAACAAGCGAGCGCACGATAAGATATAAAGCAGCTAGCATGAAAGGATAAACCCCTATAACTCCGTGAAATAACCGTGCTGGTGACTCCGTTCTAAGGGATTGCTGCATGAATGCACTCACCAGAAGCACATGTACAGTATATTGCGCATAAAATCATATCAAACTCTTTTGCGGTGGAAGTAGGTAAGAAACTCCAAAAGCTTCTTACAGCATACAGGGAAGACTCCAGACCACCAAACACTGGTCTCTAACAGCATGCAAGGATGGCTTAAAGGGTCCCTCTCCAACATAAATGGAAGTGCCAAAAACGATGTATACCACCCTAAGGGAAATGGTTCGCAAAAACAAGCCTCAAACAAGAGTGCTAATAGTGTAGTATTCTTTATTCAGTGGTGAAAGTAAAAAAATCCACGTGGATATGTTAAAACAAGAGGCTGGCAGCTGTAACACTTACAAAAATGGCCGCCGGCCCTCCATGCGGACTCGGCAGCGTGACGTCAGTACGGCAGGCTCCTCCCTAGGGAGAATGCATGAAGGTAAAAAAAAAACTCAAGCCTTTACGACCACTTTAAAGTATATATGGAGTCAAATAAAGAAAAAGAAAGAAAGAAAAAACTAATGGTATAAAAAATCTTTTCATTAAAAGAATTGTGTGTATACCCTATTTTTGTAGTTTTAGTGAGCCTTCATGTTCTCTGCAAGTCCCTCTTCCTGAATGTGGGGAACATGTCTGAGGGCAGGTAGAAAATGAAGTTTAGGGCAGTAGGGAAAACTGTTGTCAATCAAGAAGAGCAGAGATGGTGGTGGGTGGCAGAAAGACCACGAAGGACTACAGGCAAAAGCCATGCATCAGCATAGTGTCCTTTATTTCCTATCATAAAGATGAAAAACGTAACCTATCCACACCAACATACATTTGCTTCTGTAATTGGCATGGTCAGAATGCAACAAGAATCAAAAGGAACTAGGGAGATCAATGAGAGAGTATTTGCATAAGGAGGAATATGCACAAAAATCACTTTAGGAATGGAATGCATTACTTGAATAACAATTATACAGCTTATATACACTTTAAATACACAAAGGTTTAGTTTGAGGCTTATTGTGCAATGGGCTTTGTGTTTCTTATAAGCTGCATATTTCAGTGTCCAAGTTTTAATGCAAAACTATAATATGGGCTCTACATTCCCTGTGTGTGTGTAAATTTTTTTGCCATGCTTTTCACATAGGTACTTATATCTCTAATTTGTAAAGCCATTGGGGTTGATTTACTAACACTGGAGAGTTGTTCACCTTACATGTCTGTTGTGGGATGCATATACATTTTTTCTATTAAAGTTTCGGTGACCACACCCAATGTTAATTTACTTATTTGGGATAGAGTCAGCAATCACCTGGTGCACCTTTATGCAGGATTATGTATACCCCCTAACTCTTCCTGCATTGGCTATAGAGGCTCGTGGTGTACCTGTTTTGTACAGTGAGCCAAGTAGGAGCCCCTAAGCATGCAATTTGCAAAGAAGACCCAGCCACTGTGGAGATAATTTCTCCAGCTGCTACCAGAGTACTGCTCTTCAAGTAGGGTGGCACTGCATTTCCAGCCACTCACCTGTGTTACCAGTACTGAGACTCCTCCAGTCACTCGCCTGTGTTATCAGGCCTATGATCCCTTCAGCTGTTCCCCTGTGTTACCAAACTGTGAGGAATGCTGTCTGTATGGATAAGCAAAGGCATGAAGAAGAGTTTTTCTCTTGTCTGTTACTGCAAAGCCTTCTAGAGACTGTGTTGTGCTGTCACTTACTGCCCTGACTGAGCTGCAGGGACGTTGCTTTGAGGAATTCCTGTTTGCACAGCTTCATAATCTGTTAACATTCTTCTGTTCTCTATGTATACTTTTTACCATTCTAACCTGGTTTGCAAACGTAATCCCTCTGTGCACCTATTCAGTAAACCTAGGGTTAGAGTTATCCTCTGTCTTATCATTTGGATGATTTGTGATTCTTTACATATATATACCAACAAAAGCTTAAAGAGTATGTAAACCCAACATTTCATATTCCTGATATGTGCCTGCTGTACCATGTACTTGTAAGAAAAAGTATACTGTTCTCTGTGTATTGCTTCCTTTGTGTGAAATCTCTGGTGTTCCTGTCAGCCCTTCTGCTTTCCTATTAAAACTGACCACACTAAGCAGGAGAACACACCGTGGTCAGTTTTATAGCTATTCCTGGAACTGAGCCTACTCTCCGCCAATGATCAGACTCGTCCTGTCAACCCCCCCCCCCCCTTTGTACAGCCATTCATTGTGCTGCTGTTTCTCCTCCCCCACCTCTTATGCAGCTAAGAACAAAGGAAATTAGATCACTTATAAAAATGGAGAAAAGGGTATTTATAATTTTGTTTATATCTATACAGAAATGTTTTGCCTTTCTTTTCTATTTTAAACTGAATGGGTTGTTTTACAAGGTGAGGGTTTACATTTACTTTAATTCTGCCTTTTAATCCTATCAACATACAATCACATTACTAGAAAATGCTGAAATCAGCTGAAATCTACTTCAAAAGTGTTTGGAAAAAAATTTGAGGCATAGATATTTAGTATAGCAGTGTGAACTTTGATGTGTAACATCTGGTAAATTATAACAGTTCATCAGTTGTCAGCCTTTGCAGTCATATATGTAAAAATATGTATTCTAAGTTGTTATACTTTATTTACTGTAATTTTTTAGTAAGCTAAAATGCCAGGAAAGCCATAGTAATTTATGGTCAATTTTATTTTATTGTCTACAAGTTTTAGGCTGTCTTTGCACCAATGCATTGCAGTTAATACAAGATGCGTGTTACCAGGCAGTATTGTGAAATAAAGAGGTAAGTAAATTACAATCCTCTGTTGGCTTTAGATTCTACTATTCTACCTTTTAACCAATTTACTTATCCCACCACTCTATCTGTCATATATTTTGGCAGTCCACCAAAAGAATACTGGGTTTTTCACGGCATACTAGATTTACACCGTTAGGGTCGAATAGAGAATTTCCCAAAATTTCACAAGTGGAAGGATTTTTAAGATTGGAACGTGCAGGGATTACTACCCTGATGCAACTGTATTCAAATGAAGTCTTGGAAACATAACAACAACTTTGTATTGACTATAAATTAAACCAAAATGGTATTTTCAATATTCACAACTAAGACATGCTTAGAAGACTCAAGGTTTGGTTCCAACTTTCTCTTTTTCTTCTGTCCCTATCTTGGATAGTTTAGTTTGTGCAAATAATACTAAGGGCCTCATTACTAGGGTATATTATTATCCAAACTGCTTCCTAACTTTATTAATCCATGTAGACAAGGATGGGAGACAGATATTTATGTGCCCTTAGGTGACACATGGAACCAAATATTACAGAATGTACAACAGCTTTCAATACCTCCAAGTTTTTAATCTGTATAGGGCTTATTGTACTCCGGAGCTGCTGTATATGGTGGGCATGAGAGAAATTTCTGAATGCATAAGATATACTCAATCTCCTGGCTCCTTTATACAAATGTTATGGAGGTGCCCAAAACTATATCGATATTGGCAGGAAGTGATAGATA